GACCCGTTTGGTCATAGATTTTGTCAAAATTTATTTGAATTTTTTTGACAAATACATGTTTGTTCACAAATTTTATTCATATTAGTCTTAGGGTACGTGCGATGCGCGTGAATTCTGTCTCAATGAGTATAATATTTAAATATAGTACGAAGTTAACTTTCTCCACGGTTCATATAAGAAATAAATTAATAAGTAAATTTTAATTAATTTTAAGCTCTAAAATTTTAAAAAATATTAATTAAATAACTATTATATGAAATGTTTCTTATAATATTTAACATAAAATTGAGGAACTTATATAAAGATCAAGTTTGAAATGATAAGAAAAAGCATTAGTTTTAAATTTTAGTCCTTTATTGTATGTAACTATTATTCCATAAATAAAAAGTATTCTATTAAGTTGAAGAAACTCACGTTTTCTCATTAATTTATATATGTTATGTAAGAAAGTCAATTTTTAAACTCACGGTAATAATTAGAACTTCTTATTTAGTTCAATAAGGAAATATTTAAATTTTAGGTGATTCAAATACCCTAATTATTANATATATATGTTATGTAAGAAAGTCAAGTTTTAAACTCACGGTAATAATTAAGACTTCTTATTTAGTTCAATAAGGAAATATTTAAATTTTAGGTGATTCAAATACCCTAATTATTAGGAAAGTAACTTAAATTACAATTATGTCCAATGTAAATTTATTTTTAGAGGGTAAAAAAGGCAAACGACATTTTGCTAAGGATTTTCGTGCTTTTAATATAGTATATAGATTTTGGCAAATTCCCAAAACTCAAATCCCAAAACCAACTCAAGTTTTGGCCAAAAATAATATTACTATTACATTCTTTAAAAATTGCCCCAAACTTTTATATTTTATAAAAGAGTCTACCATTTATTATTTTGTAACAACATTGCTTCGTCTTTTTGGTCATCTAATAGTGTATTATGCAATTTATTATAAAAATGATAACTTTATACCAAATTTATTTATGTTCAGGACTATAGTTTACGATAATATAATTTGATGAAGGGTATTTGTGATAGTTTTTAGAACTTGCGAGTATAAGTCATATTTCATATTTTCTCAAAAAAAAAAATATATTTTGAAAACTGAGTTATGTAGCTAAATTAAGATGGAAAAGGCAAATTATGCTGTACGAGTCCCATACTGATGGGACCTTAGTTACAATGTGCAACGCTCTCTAGCTAAACCGCTTCGACTTGGTCTATTGTAGTAACATTTTTGAATACTTATAACTTCATTTGTTATATATCCATAAACTATTTCAGAATTAACCAATTATTCCAGATACCACCTAAAGTTCCAGCAAATGCTTGGTTTTGATGGCAATAGCACTGTTACTTCCCATCGCAAGAATGATTTAACATAACTCTGATTGATTAAGTCAAACAAATCATAGTAGGCACTATCAGCCTCGTGCATTAAAACTTATTAAAGTATAGCTATAAATGATAAATACAGTATAAATATTTGATATTTGATGTGTCACGTAATTTTTCATTATTTGATCAAGGCCCTAGGGTAGAGGTTCAAATCTTTCTATTGCCATCTAAGTATTTACCTCTTCCAATTCTTTAAGCATATGATTAAAATCTTCTCATTCACAAGTTGTCATATTTAGATCCAGGAACAGAAAACAAGTTAACACTTGAAAGAGCACAAAATAGAAAAATGGAGTACAACCCTACCAAAATTACCAAAAGACTGTACACATCCAAAGATAGTAACCAACTCTCTCCCAAACCCAAATTCCACAAACCCCTCAAATCATAATTATAAGGAAAAGAAATAAAGAAATATTTTTCAACATAATATTCCAAAAATATGAAATACAAAAGAATCTGAGTTGAGCTTTCAACTCCTCATGTGCCTGACCTTGTGCCAACCCTTCTTGCAAGATGCTCCAACAATCTTCACTCCTTTCTTGAAAAGGGTCTTCAATTCCTTTGCTCTCTCCTTCACTTGCTTCTCAAACCCACCCATTTTCTTCTTTCTGTCAAAAATTTGGACAGTAGAGAATTTCAAGAATATAACCTTTCTATTGGTAATCAAGCAGAATGGGAAGCTATGCTAAGAAGATAACGTTTTTAAAGGAGCTTGTGGGTGGGGCTAGTCCTATATGCTTAGTGGGATCCAACGCATGAGAATATACACGTTGCTGGTTATCATTTTTGATTACGGGGATAAGCATGGGGTTCGACGTCAATGTTATTACTAATACTTGGGATTTTTTAATACGTCTTAACGGAAACTGCGGTCCCAATGATTATCGAGACCTGTGCGAGCCTTTCAATCATCTCTTTGGGACCATTGTTTATACTAAATCCACAGGTGTAGAGTCGTGTCGTAGGATGCACCGGATAAAATTGCCCTTCAAAATTTACGTTTCATTAAAATATATTATTATATTAATGCAAGTTTGAAATAATCCAAAAAATTAAAAAATAAAATTATATACCTAGTAAATAAATAAATACTTAACATATTTCTTTTTTTATATATAAATAAATATCCAGTTCTATACTACAATATAGGCAGATAAATTAAATAAAAAAATTTAAACCTTTTTCGTATAAAAACATTCCTCAACATCGTTTCTGTTAAAAAGATAAAGTGGTGGACTGGTTATAAGGGTATTTTTGTAAACAAACAATTCTTTTAGAAATTGTGCAATGCGTTAATACATCAAACCAAACAATGGATAAGAAATATGTCAGAATAACTAGTGCAAGCATAACTAATACCAGCATTACTAATACACCCTATAGGCATATAAATTTTATTGGAATTAAATCCGTAAAATAATTGAGACTATATTATAAAATTCAAGATATAATAGTTCAAGTAAATTTATTGGGCTAATATAATTAGATTAATTATAAGCCCAATATATATGGAATAAATAAATAAGCCTTAATCCATTGGGTTAGTCCATTTAGTTGGGCTAAAGTTATGAGCCCACTTCATTAAGCCTGAGATGTCATCTTCCTAGAGGCCCAGTTTGGTGTCACGCGTTAAATGACGTGGCATGCCAAGTCAAACGGAAGAACCAATAGGATCATGCCACATGTCAAAATGACAAGGCATGCCAAGTCACATTAGCAGGCTAATAAAATCGCGTCACATGTGCAAGTGACATATTTTGGCCAATCAAATGCGGCTATGTCACACTTCAATTTGTTTGGTCGGAAAGAGTTTGTTCTTATCACAACTCCTCCCTTCCACAACTATAAATAGGGGTATTCATAACCCAGAAAAGACACCAGAAGTTATAACAAGAAGCAAGAGAGAGCTCGTGGATCAAACGCTGCAGAATTCTCTAAAAGCTACAAGCATTCAAAAGCTACAAGCATTCAAGTGTTCAAGATCAAGACGAAGATTCAAGAATAAGCTGCAAGCCCTTGGATTAAAAATACGTCAAGATCAAGATCAGGCCTCAAGCACTTGGATTAAAATAGAATAAAATTCAAGATTAAGCTCAAAAGCTCTTTTATTTACGGTTGAAAAGTAGAATTCAGAGGATTCATAGAGATTGTAACATTCAAATATTCGAAATAAAATATTACGATTGTTGCGATATTTTTCGGTCTTGATTTTATTTTCTTGACGCAAATTTATTGTTTATACACCCTATTCAACATTATTTTTATGTACCCTACAAACGACCCTTTATAGTCCGACTCTTTATCGGACCCCGCACATAACGGGAACTTAATGTATTGGGCTGTCCTAATAGGTGTATAATTAAATACACTTATATCTGTTAATTATTATTAATTATAGTACATGTTTTTACCTAATAAAATCACTTAATTGTTTGCCAGCATAAAGCAGCAAGACATATCGTTTACATCTGTGCAGTTAGAACCAGCTAAACATGCTTGTCTGTCCATTTGTGTACAGCTTGCAGATATTTCTTTAATTTGGGCTCTTTTTTCCCTGAAAAGAAATGATTTTTAGAGCAACGGCTGGGAACCAAATCACACCATTTTTCACTTTGCCAAGTTCTGGTCCCTTTTGCTTCTAGTAAATATTCAATTGCCAATTTCCACGTATTTATTGTGACCCCAGTAGACAAATTCCTTAAAAGACTTCCAAAGCGCAATGATTCCTTTTGAATCAAATCTCACCTGACAACTACTCAATAACAACTAAAAAAGAGTAGTTTGGTGTGCAAAGAATCTCGCTTTCACGCAGAGTCCGAAAAAGAGTCACATCCTAGGAGATGTAACAGTCTACCCTAATGCAAACATTAGTGTTGCTTCCACCTCTCGAAACAATAACTCTGCTTTCCTTTGACATGATCCTCTTCACAAGTTGTCACATAGAAGCTCTCCATTTGTCATTTTCAATTGCTATGATGTCCGGATCCTTCAAAATGCCACATTTTCTGTATCCGACGCGACGATATTTTTTGAAAAATTCAAGCAATGTAAGCCAACTATAGTTTATCAAAATCTAACAGGCTAAATGCATTAGCTTCCTGAATACGAATTTTCAAATCAAAGCATTGACTTTGGTTTAGTAGAGTAGAGACTGAGAGACCACGAGAACTTGGAGCGTACTCAAACCAAGAGTGTATTTTTTCCAATGAAATCCATTTCGACTTACTTTCGGTTAATGCGCCTAATTGCTTGCCATATAAGAGGAGATTGTTACCTACCAATGGATGGTACAGAAGGACCTTTCTCACAAATAATTCAAATCTCTCCAAAAGAACAATGATACTAGCATTCTTACAATGTTATTAGTAAGAAATTGAAGGGGAGCCTTGTAGCACAGTAAAGTTATCTCCGTTTGACCTATAGGTGATCGGTTGGAGCCATGAAAGTAGGACCACTAATGCTTGCATTAGGGTAGGTTGTCTACATCATACCCCTAGGAGTACAACCCTTACCCGGACCCTGCATGAATGCAGGATACTTGTGCACCGGACTGCCCTTTTTATTAGTAAGAATATTGTAAGAACGATTTATCTTTGCTATCAAAAACCAACTACTCATGATGCATATGTTATTAATAAGGTTAATGCATTGTACAATGAATGAATTATAATAGAAGACCTTAAGTTTCCACTCCAGCAGTAACAGCATCCAAGGATTAAACCTATGATGAACAACTGTATGAAATTTTCAGCAGAGAAGTGAGCTGCACTAAAAACAACTGAGCTAACAATGACTGCTTGCTGCCATTTCATTGTGGAGGAAAGAGCAGTCAAGAAGAACCCTCTGTACACAATTTCTTCTAGCGAGGGGGTGATGATACAGTAGACCAGGATGCATGATGTTATCGAGATTGGTCCACTCGAAAGAATTTCCTTCAAGATTGGATTGTTGACTTCCTGCAAAGTTCATCAAACAACGACGTTCTAGATTTATTACATCATACAGCAAAGAAGAACNTGGTCACTTACACCAGCGACGTTCTAGATTTATCACATCATACAGCAAAGAACAAGTCAAAGTGAGATAGTATTACGGATATAGACAAGAAAATGCATGTGTGTGCACCTTGACTTTATCTTCAGTTCTAGTTCCAACCAATATAAGAGGCAAGAAACCCAATCAAATACATGTAATATAGGCATGTCCGTTTCTCAAACTCAACTAACTTTTCTGGTGCTTTCGTTTTGCATACCTCCAATTCAAACCATATGCTTTAGCTTACTCAACAGTCATTCAACTAAAGCTTGAAATAATTCCTGTGTAACGTCCACAAGAATCAGGTGCAGGGAAATTCTTCCCCCCAATTTTACTATCTAAACATGCCAACATATCAAATACATTTCAGTAGTCCTTAAAGTAAGACAACTAAAGACAAAGTAGCAAGTGTATTTAAAGAACGTAACAAAATTTGGGGCTAATAAAGAGTAAGATGGCATGCAGAGACGTTTATCACTAGGGAAAGTAAGTTTATTTGTTAAAAGAATTGCACTACCTGCCAAACCCTTGGGTTAAAACTTTCAAAACCATAGTAAGAATATGAGGTCGTTGTATTGCATAGATTACTCTTGCAAGAGGGTACTCTGAATTTTCCATATGATCTAATTATCATGATAAAGTGAAACAGAATTATGAATCACGAATTTTGTCCTCTTCTTTTTTTCTTCTCCATCTTTTATTTCAAGGTGAGTTAATGCACTAAAAATTTCAATTTTCAATTTGATATTGCATCTGAAAAAGGAAACGTAAACAGCTTACCTTGGTACCTATCAACCAGTCAGCAATAATGGAAGTGGTGAAAACCAACAGAACCAGGAACCCAAAGCCAAGAGCTGACGCAAATAACCAGTTCCTTTCTTTTGCTGATTGCTTCTCTTGAAAGAAATCACGAAGCTTGTATTGGGGCTTCCCAGGATATCTTAAAAGAAGTAGCACGCCCATAAGCTCTAACATCTGAAGTACAACTAAAGACAATGCCTGTGTTGAAAAGGCAAAGAATGTATATAAGGTGTGAGCTAGGAAAAAACAAAAAAATACCATCAAATTGATTAAAATAATAAGTTAATGGACTATTTGCTAGTTGAGAAAAGTTGACGTTTTGAAATGCTACCAAGTTTGATATACTTCACTTTTGTGTCCCACAAATTTGATCCGATCGGATTTATATCTAACGGTAAGAATTTCTCTGCACAACAAGGAACTGAAAGATACCTGATCTTTTTACTTTGAGCGAGTCACAAGAAGCAAAAGAAAACACAAGAGAATTTATGTTTATAACTTTATATCCCTTGAACTTAATCAAAATTCATCAAACCAGCCCACACAGCTAGAACAGTAATATTCTATAATGTTACGGACAAATCTTACTCACCTCGGTCTGTGGATCAAGAGCTGAACAATGCAATATACTGGTAACAGCAGACAAGCCGCCAAAACTCAAAGGAACATGCACACTGAAAAGGTAGAAAGCCATACTGCTCCACAAACTACCCACATCACAAGGATTATCTGATTTAAGGACCGAGAAGCCCTAAGTTGAAAAACATTTACTTAAATATCTGAAGTACAATACTTTACAAATTTTGGAATAGAAAACTGAGTACAAGCTTTGATATATCACTAACCATTTAGTTACTATCTATTACCATGTTCATTAATCACTAGAATTCATTTGAACTTAAATATACAAGTTAACTGTTTTTCAAGAATGTTCAACCCCGCATATTGGTGCATCTTTTTCCAACTTGATTCAATTTACTAGTTACCCGACAGAATCTAATTTACATGAAATGCAGTGACTAACTAAAAAGCTCAAAATGTCACATGCCCACTGTGGCGGAATATCGTGGGTTAACTAGCACACAATCACACACAAAGCAAATAGAGAAGAAAAATCAA